ACAAGATAATTTTACCTTAAGATCTAAAGTGAGAACGTGCGATAACATATATATAAAAAATATCTTTAAAGATATGAAAATTAAATTATTACTTTAAATACATATTTACCTATTTATATCCTATATGACCAAAAGTTTAATATTCATTTTGCAAATAAGACAGCAACTTCATATATAGACCAATTGCCGCTCCTGTGGCTACTGACTATGAGACGCTGAAGTCTCCTCTAATTTGAATCGATTAACTATATTTACACATATATATCGATGATAGAATCTAATTGACTGCAGTAAAAATCCGATAAATCACGGTGTGGAAAAGTAAAGCATTTACGAAGATTTAGAAATTATGAAAGTACCATAATGGCATTTATTTTCTGGCAATGAAGTAGTTCCTTACGCTTTTGACTATTCTACCAAACTGAAGAGTCAGCATTGACGAACAATCTTCAGTTACGAAATTAAATAGAAACTTTGCTGGAAAATATAATCGACGATATTAGACTGTGTGAGGTTCTTATAATTTCGATTCTTTGTAATTATAAAATTGATAATGATATTATAATTGCCCTTTTATCTTGTAGATTACTTCAAACATTTCAAAATATAATCTCTGTTGTGTTTAGAGAAGTTCTCTCAATATTGTGTTTAAGAATTTAACAGATGACATCAAAATTATATTACAAAAATATATATTTTATTTACTATGTTTTGCTTTGTTTCTCTTCATGAGACTTTGTTATTTTTTTACAATTTCCTTTACATGATTTGGAATTTTAATTCTTTTACGTTTCGGTTTCATAAGCGTTTTGCTTTTAGCATTTAAATTCAATTTTGTATTTTTATCATTTTTATGTACAGACTGCGTTGTTTGTACTTTTTGCTTTTTACTTTTTTTACAAGATAAAGGATTTGGATTTTTCGGACCCTTATGCTTCTTTTTACTAGTCTCCTCTTTACCGGTGGAACTCTTTAAGCCCTGCGTTTGTTTCATATGATCAATTTTTTCTCCAATTTTTGCTGGCAGTAAATCCTTCGATTTCTTAGAAACATACTTTTTTGATGCATTTGATGGCTCCTCTAGCACAGGCGTGGCTTTATGTAAGTAAAGTAAACAACGTCCAGGTACTTTGCGTAATCTATCCTGCAGCGTTCGATCTTGAGTTGCCACAATGTAACGACTGTCTTTGGTCTAGTGATTTTAATTTAAATGTTATAATAATTATACTCTGTGTATGCACTACTGCTTCAAATACTTACCATGGATTTTATGCACTCGGCTGCGGTAACTGGCTTACCTTCGTGGCCGCATTTGTGTACGTGAAATTTTTTAACAATTTTGGTAGCGCCTGTCAGCGGCGCACCAAGCGATTCGGCTTCCAATATAATACATTGCGTTGTTAATAACTTAATTTGTGTTTGAAAATACTTCTTTAATTGTTCTTCTATTATAATTTTATTCTGCAAACATATATTACCGTTTAGAAGTATAAGAAAATAAATTTATTTATTTTACCTGTAAGGCAGCTTGACAGAATGTTGCGTCTATTAACACTTGATATGGTTCTCTATAATTAAAGTTGGTGGCAAAATATTGCAAGATTTTATGACTTTTCTTCAAACGTGATATTTTCATTTTAAAATACTTTTTTAAATGATTTGTAAAACGTTTTTATTCAAGTTGTCAAATCATGTTTTAAACATTCAGCAGAGCATTGCAAACAGCTGTTTTGTAAATTCACAATAGGTTTCATCATATAAGTCACAATAGGTTTTAAGGAATACTTAAAGTATTTCTTAGTTTTTGATAATTCACCACAGTTTCATATTTTAATGCAGAGAATATTAATAATACATTGAGAGGGAAATTTAATAAAATGCATATAAAATTTCATATTTTATTAGTTATTTATCAAATTACTAAACAGAGTATGCTAAATTAACATTGACAAAATCATTACTATCATTAATAATCATTAAATCAATATTAATATTATGTATATATATAATATCGATCTTAGTGTAGTGTGCATTTGAAAATAATATTACCATAATTCTTCAGTTATGATATCATTGTATAAACATGTATTAATATTCTAAACAATAAATAATAAATAATAAAAATTTAATTAATTTAACTTGCAAGGAAGGTGGACAGAATATTGCATCTATTAATACTTATACGACTTTCTATAATACAAATTTATATCAAAATATTGTAAAATTATATCATTGTCATTCAAACGTAGTAATTATTTTAAAATTACTCGGATTACATATAAAAACAATTCAACTAAAAAAACATTAAATTGTGTTTTGTTATATAGCAGCACTTTGCGACCAGCTGTTTCGCGCATTCACAGTAGATTATTATACACTGCTTGCTTTACAATCAAATATAAAATAATTCACTACAGTTTAATATGTAAACATACAGAAATATATTCATGAAATAAAGAAATACATAATGCCCCATAATATTACTTGCTTATCAAATGAATGAATATAATATGTAATATTTTTAATTTACGAGAACCTGCATATTTATGAACTAAAGGATTTATTTTAACTACTGTGTGAATTCCATACAAAAAAGTTTTATCTTGAAATATTATATTATTATTTTATTATATATTATTTTGCTGAAATTATTATATTTTAATTTCATAAAATATTTATATATAAACTATTTCAGAAGACAAAAGTTACTAACAGAACATTAGCACGCAAAAGTCAAATATCAATAGAAAAATATTTTTAAAAGATCGTAAAAAAATAACGAAAGCAGATATTTTAATAAATTTTTTTTAAAATATTCCTCAAAGTTGACTCTTTCATTTTACACCACGTTTTATTAAAATATATTGTACAAAAAGAAAGTTATTAACCAAAATATTTTTTAAGGATCATAAAAATATAATTAAAGCAAATATCGTAATAACTTTTGTATAGAGATAATGTCAGTGACGACGCGTGCCCTATCTGGAAGGGTGTGCGGCCCTTCTTTAATGTTGTTTTTACATGTACCACTTATATTAAAATATATGA